CCCCCCCCCCCCCCATCCCTTTCTGGCTATATATAATGACCAGTACCAATACTGCTTTTTCACTGGCATTGCAGGGAAACAACTTAAACTCACATTTCTCGTCCATCTTCCGCCTGGTGGAGTCTGAAATACTCACAGAGTGCTTCATGTTGGAGAGCCGTAAGCTTTGGGTGCAGAGTAACGATTTCAAAGAATCAAATGTTTTCTCTGTTTTGGGCGGAGCACGAAATCTTCTTGATAGCGTGTCATCACGGAAGTTAGTTGAAGAGGGACATGGCAGCTCTCTCACTTCTTTGACAATTCGCAACTACCACGAAAACCTCAAACACTTGGAAATATTATCATCACACTTTTGGGTCAATGGTGACTTGCTTGATTCCCACAATGAAGTGGATCGGTAAGTACCTCAAGCGTGGGGTCTCTCTTGTGTACCATCTTGTTTCCATTTTATACTTAAAAATGTACCTATTTAATAGTCTTTGTTGGTAGTAGAAGCGTTTGTGTTTAAGAATTGTTTGGAGGTCAAGAGAAGATTGTAAATTTTGTCTCCTACTTTAGCTTTGGCAATCCAACTATTATTTCTTCATATTGCGCCACAGTGGTACCCTATAAATTGTAATGTGGACTGCGATCATGTTCATTTGCATTCTCTGATGATTCCTCTCTGATTTTGATTTGCTATTTTATACTTCCCCAGGTGTGGACTTTATTAGATATTGAAATGAATGAAGCACAAAATCATTAAAGTACTTCAGTTGAACCTAATAAGAGTTTTGTGTTACCTTGCGTGGAGACTTAGAAACGTCTGAAAGAAGGGTTGGTATAGTTGTTGCTTTCATCAATTTCTCTTTTTTTCTGTAGGAATTCAAGTATAAAGTTGTTCATCACCAAATGGTTTCAAGTTCTTTTATCAGTCAAAGAATCCCTCTTTCAAAGTAGAAATATGGGGATCACTAGTGTCATTAACAGAATATTACCAAGTGTCTATGAAGAAGATAATCTTTTGCATGGCATTAACTCTGTGGTAGATGTTTTGAAGGAAGTTGTGCAAATTGTCGCCAATGCTTACAAACACTGCACTGGTAACGTTAAACAAGCAGATTCGATGTGTAATCTTCTGACTGCGTGTCTCGAAGGAGTTTCTCGGCTTCCAGAAGAAAATCAGGGTAAGTAATTGTTTCATATAGCAGTAAGTTTTTACAATCACTGTTCATTCATTTGCCCGCAGTTCGTAACCGAATGGTATCATTAGCTAGAACAATCTGCTCTTTAGGCGTAGCATCAAACTTTCAACTGATTAGCCTTAAAAAGGTCAAATTGGTTTTAGAATTGAATTTTTGAATGGAGTCTTGCGTCAAATTTTCAATCCTTCGGCTGTAGAGTTTATTGAAGTCAATAACATTGTGAACATTACAGTGATCAGCTGAAGAGCTGGTTAAGGAGGGAAATGTTGAAATCAAAATTGCATTAAAGAGCCGAGATTTTATTTAATTGACTCATTTGGAGATCGTCCAGAAAGATAGGCTGCAACATCTGATCCCAGCGACCTGCAGGGCCCAGTTATTCAAAGGGTGGACAGCTCTATTCAACGGATAACTGTTAACTCTTTAGCACGCACGAAGGACCATGGTAGAACTTTTCCGGCTTTACAATGTCAATACAATATCAAGAAAACAAGTGACGAGAACAAAGAAAAATATTAGTTAGGAGAAGTACTAGTGAGATCGTGGGAATGAAAGGTTTAACAACGTACTGCAGAGTGATAGATGGATAATGCAGAGCTATTCACCCTTTGAAAAACTGGAGCCAGCAGTTTATTTCCAATTGCCGTGTTCTCAAAAGACAAATTTTCTTTTGTAGCAGATAACACAGACATGTTTTGGGACTCCATTTGCCTTGGTGACATGTGGACTAAACTTGGCTTGGTTCAGTCATTGATTCTGTCTCCTGTCGGACCCGTGGATCCTGTTGAGAAAACTAGGATTGAACTTGAGTACGTCAATAGCGAGGTAAGTGTACGTGTTATGCGCAGTCGTATTTTTTTAAGAAAATAATTTTTATTTCCTTGTTCGTATTGTATCACGTAGTCGTTTATTCAATGTGACTATTTCGCTCTTCTTCTTTGGCGAACTAATTCTTCCAAATCTTTGAAATTCCTATATCCCAAATGCCTTCATATGCAAATCTTTCAATTTTGAGCAGATTCTAGTTGACACAAGAGCATTCGGGTGTACACATTCCGCATTTTTTTAACAGATTCAAAGAATCGAAGAGGAGTTAAAAGTGAGATATTATGCAGAGGAAATATGGAGAGGAGTGAAGACTTCTGTTGATGATTTGGAAGCTCTTGTTTGTGATGAACACAGGAGTGAATCACAATTAACATCTAATCCAGTACGGGTGGGGCGATTGTTAACAAAACTTAACGATCTCAGAGTGAAAGCGGAGAACCTGAGTAAGAATGCCGCCATCAGACCAGACATCTCGCAGGTATGAAAAAAAGGTGTTGAAAGAATGGACGGGAGATTAGCTTTTGATAGCAGAATGCTACTCTTGTATACTTGCCAACTACAACAAAACTTACGTGAATGCATTAACACTTACTTGAAAAAATACCAACCTGGTATGTGTGGTGAGGACACCTGACTGCAGTCAGTTTTTTGGGCAGATTGACAAAGTTTGTAGAAGAAGATAGCAAAGTACTTGTGATTGAGTTTTTGTTGTTGACAACTTATCAAAGATGTGGTTCGACTTTATGTTTGTCTTAAGTGTTGTTTTGTGCAGACTTACAAGAAGAACCCCTTTATTCTTAGCTGTCTTCGATGTTTGAGCATCTGTCATTTTGTTGGATAACAACTGGGTGCCTCTGCTTCCTGCCAATTTTTGTTACAATGCTACAAGGACCTTTTCTGATTACTAACGTTTTGCACTGTTTTCTGTTTTGACAATGTGATTGGCGCTAGATGAAAATAAAGTTAGTAGGTCGCGAAATTTTCTCGTCTCCACTCCTTTTACGGGCTCGCCGCTTATTTTGGGCGCTCGGCTGCAAAAATCTTCCCCTAAAAGGCCTTAAACTTAAGTAGTAGTCTTAATGATACCTTAAGCTCACACATTTCTGTTTGAATTTGTTTTATAATGTAGTTTGATGCTATTCTTGATGAAGTAAAACACTTCCTGCACACTGTTGGTGAGAGTAACACTGTTACGGACCTAACAAAATCTATGAGAGAGCTAGCATTACAGCTTTATGGCTCACTGAAGAATGGTGTTAATGGAAACGTTTTGGCCAATTCTGTCACCTCAGCTGTTCATAAGGCAAAAGCTTGGTATACTTCTGTGGAAAGGGTTATCCAAAAGCTGAGGAAGGACTATCCACTGTACTGTGATATTTTAGGACCCTTTATTGCAGGTGTATCTCAGGTATAGCAGAATGATAATTTTTGTTTGTAACTCACATAAGGGTATTTTGATAATTGAGAGAGTACGTCTTACCCTGGGTCACTTTGTTGTACTCTTTGATAGGGAGACTATCATAACCACCAAGCTTACCATACCCTACCCTATTCTACCCTACCCAACCTACCTTACCTTACCCTGCCTACCCTACCCTACTCTACTTTACCCTAACTTACCCAACCTTACCTACCCTACACTATCCCACACTACCTACCATACCTTACCTTACCCTACCCTACTCTATTTTATCCTTCCCTACCCTACCCTACTCTACTTTACCACACCTACCCTACCCCACACTACCCCCACTTTACCCTGTTTGACCTACCCTACCCAACCTTTCACCACCCAGGAGTGGATTCAACAATTGTGATCTCCTGATGGAATTTTGGGGGAGTAAACTGGATTGAGTCAGCGTTCCATTCGGTGACATTACCACTACTCGTAAGAATAGGCTGTGCTAGTTCAGGCTGCACTTGACTCATATACTGAGTTTCACTTTACTGAGCTTAAAGAGAAGATTTGAAAAACCTTTAATCTCACTCTTCTTAATTTTTGTGTTACGATCAATCTAGGTCATGTATGGTGTGTCCCTGATGTCATCAAACTTATCAACATTGTTTCAATACTACTTATTTCGGGCTCAGCTTACAGTGGGTACAAATATGCAGGTAAGTTCTGTTTCAGTCTTCATGTTAACTCACCAAAGAAAGGGTTTTAGCCAACCCAAGCCACCAGTATTAATTTTTCATCAAACATTTAAGATGTATTCCCGTGGCTCTCTCTGTGTTATCAAACTTCTCTCCCTTTTTATGTAAATGGCTCGTTACTAGCATGCTTTTTAAATGTGCACAGATTGAACAAGATTAAAACTGTTTGCAAATAGGTGTTACTTTATAAAACTGAAAAAAGAATTGACCCACTATATCGCGTTGCTTTAGTTTCTATGAATAAATATTTGAGCAGATTTCATAAAGAGGCCTAAAAAGGCACTACATAGCCCCTTCCCTCCCTCCCCCCCCCCCCCC